TCATTGTCAAGAATGACGTAGGTAGGAAATCACAGTTTACTTGTGCCCATGACATGGGCACAAAGCATCCAAGGTTCTCAGATGAAATGGGATCATTTTACTGGTAGCATTTTTGATTTGCCTGCCAGGGCTGGAGCCCAGGCATTGCTGTGGAAAACAGTTCATGTGGATTTAGCAATACTTGGAGAATTTAAGTATTGTGTTTATGCAGCTTGAGGTCTATCTGTTCCTGTGCTTACTGTTTCATGTTAGTTGTCTCTAGGCAGCTTTCTCAATCACTCTTCAGAGGTGTTTTAGCTCTGTTCGCAGGATTGTACCATGTTTTTGTCAATTAGCTGTAAATAACCCCAACTAACTAAGAGCATGTGCAGTGAAGGAGCCTTGTATGGGTAATAATACCAGTTTACCATTGGTTCGCTTTTCCTCAGTGGCCATTTTTCCTTTGCCCCTTTCCCCTTTCCTGCTGGCTAATGGCCTACACTATTTTGCAAATCATTTAACAACACTCGCATTAGGAAGAGCAAACAGTGTATTGAATAATATACCATGTTATAATTACATATCCATTTGAACTGAACTGTACTTAGGAACCTTACTCTCAAAACAGTGATTAGTTAGAGGGAAAAATTCCAGTTCCACTGTTTGCACGACTTTTTAGTATGGGAAGGCTTTTGAATTTTAGTATCTTGAGAGCTGGCAGTATATTTTAAAATATCAGTGTCCGAACTAATCTCTGAGTTTTAGCACTGGACGAGCATGAGGTCCATTTTCATGTTTAGTATCATGTTATTGTCTGTAAAATGCTTTGAAGTCACAAAGCTGAATGTGAATGAGCATTGTTACTAAAATTTTGTGTGCAGCAACAGTGTCAAAATAATTTATCTTTTGTGAAAAAATAAAAATAAATTATAGATTGTATTTTAGATTTTTCATCCTTTTATATTTATGATGCAATAAATTTTCTTTTAAAGCATATAGTACAGTTTTTGGAGTGCCAAAAGGCACTTATACCCTACTCTGATATTTAATTTTCATGCATCTGTGAAGTTAAACCTGTAAAGTCTCACTCTTGTGAAATGCTTAGTTACACACAGTCTCTGTTTTTATGAAATGGGAATGCTAAGCAGAAAAAGAATTAGCTAACACCTCCCCTATGAGGACAGGCTGAGAGAGCTGGGGTTGTTCAGCCTGGAGAAGAGAAGGCTCCAGGGAGACCTGATAGCAGCCTTCCAGTACCTGAAGGGGGCTACAGGAGAGATGGGGAGGGACTTTTTACAAGGGCATGTAGCGACAGGATGAGGGCTAATGGATCTAAACTGGAAGAGGGCAGATTTGGACTAGATATAAGGAAGAAATTTTTCACTGTGAGGGTGGTGAGACACTGGAACAGGTTGCCCAGGGAAGTTGTGGATGCCCCATCCCTGGAGGTGTTCAAGGCCAGGCTGGATGAGGCTTTGAGCAACCTGGTCTAGTGGAGGGTGTCCCTGCCCATGGCAGGGGGGTTGGGACTTGATGATCTTTAAGGTCCCTTCCAACCCAGACCATTCTATGATTCTGTGATCTTGAATATGAAGTATTAGGATTTGGCCCATGGTTAATGTGTACTCCACGTGGCTGGAAGCAACAGCTGCTTTTTGGTTACAACGTACTTCATTGTGACCAATAAATACAGAACTCATGTTCTGACGTTTCAGCAATTTTCAGCATTATGTGAACAGCAAATAATGTTTACTTCAGGTCGCTTGACCGACAAATATTGGTAGAGTGGCTATGATATATGTGACTAGAAAGTAAAAGCATAGGCAATACTTTCTCTGTGTTGCCCTCAACACTAATAGGTGTTGTGTCACTCCTACAGGTACAATCACAGTATAATTCTGAATATAATTCTGAAATACATATACATTAAATACGTAATTTTTCTCTGAGCAATTTTCATTCTGTTAGTGCAGTTTCATGGATTAACGTGGAATGACAATTCCCATTTAACAGTGGAAGACATTTAATGCAATGAATATTCTCTGCTCTTTCAATCAATGAAAAAAAACCAACTTATATGTGTTAGGTTGAAGCATTAACATTTTTCTTTACATAGGGCTCCTGAAGTAGAGTTGAGCATCCCTGTGTTATGCCAGATTTTTTACTAATATAACCTTGTGTAAGTACTGCACATTGGTTTGAGTGCAACAACTTCAGCAGAGGTGACCTGAGGATGTAGTTTGTTATACCTAAAATAGAACTCACTTGTGCATCATTGTAGTTGGAGCACACTACGAAAGTTTCTAAACTAGACATACGCATTGGCTATAGGTTTAGGGAGACTATGCTATTTTTTATTCCACAGGATCTAGAGTAAATCAATCTTGAGAAATGGTCTCAGAAACCACTTTGTTCAGAGTTATATGAAGATATCACCTTCATCTTCTTTCTTAAGCAAATGTTCTGCCTTAAAGGGATATGTGCCATGCAGGCAGAAAAGACAGCAGCTGGATGAGGCAATTGAGTAAAATGCCTAAGAAAGCCAGAAGCATGATTTCCATCGACTTGAGCAGAATTAGTGCCAAGATCCGTACTGTTTCCATCATGGTATTGTGCTAGTGTTGCCAGCAACATCCCTGGAAATATGTGGCTTGTTTGGAGTTTTCTTAAGCAAAATATCTTGGGTTTTGACCCTGATTCATCTGCTGACCTTTATGCTTGCAGCTTGTTTGTTGAGAGATCTAGTGAATGAAGAAAACTTATCCTTTCCTATTCCTCTATCTTTATTTGCAGGAGCATGCTATCTATTGGAAGCAATAGCTTGTTCAATTCTGATTTATCCAGATACCTCCTGACTGTATCACATATCATTATGAGCATCATGTCATAAAAAAGAGCAAGGAACTGGGGAGAGTTAAGAGACCATAACAGGGAATATCAAGGACAGGCCAACATGTCTGACAAAGGTTGTATGGCATGAATGAGGTGCTCAAGCAATGATTAAAGGGAATAGGGCATTGTGACAGCCAAGGAATATTCGAGACATGTGAAAAGGAAGCAAATAAATTGAGTGTAGTACTTTCTGTATATTAAGTTGGATTTTTAGAAGTGGATGACTCTGAGGTAAACTTGATAATGGCATGAGAAACATGGCTCCCAAGGTAGGGGGGAGAAGCTCTTCACCTGCAAGTTTGGAAACTGCAGCAGATAAAATATTAGTGTCAGATAAAACGTATTGTCAAGAACAAGCTCTCATCTGGCAGGTGTTTTCCTTTCCATCTCCAGTGCTTCTTCAGTTACAGTCAAATTCCTTTCCAGCTTACACACCCCACCAGTTGCACTGAAGCTCCTTGGATATATAAGATAGTTAAAATTTGGCTGCACGTTCTTGACTTTTAAGCTCCTTAGGACACAGTTCCACATTTGATGGTCTTGTGTGAAAGAGGAGCTTTACAGTACTAATGCCTGATGTAAATCATTCATTTTTGTACACATTTTGCAAGTGTACACCTCAAAATAGGCAATTAATTCCTCTTGGAGTGTATTTATATTTCATTAGAAACAGTAAAGTGTTGATGAAAAGCTGTAGTAATAAAACGCTTATCAATTTGTAATTACAGTTGAAGAAATTTTCACCTTTCATTCACCATTCATTGTATGAATTCTGGAAAAAATAAAGGTAAATATTTTAAACATGTTTAGGGTTAGACTCCTACAGCAATAGTTTATTGCTTTGGAAGATCAGCAGCTTTGATGGTCAGAAAACTTACGATGTCCTAAAATGTACTCAGGGACCTAATTTTGAGTGATCTTTATTTTTAATTCTAGTTGAAAAACCTTTAAAAATTAACAACATGGCTTAGATAAATTTATCTATTTATCTGTCTTTCTTCCTGATTATTGATTTCCTAATTTTTTTCATCTAAGTGGGCAGTTAATGGGTTTTAAAAAAATTAATCAGGTTATTTCTAGAGATTTGGATAAACTACAGTACAGGGTATACAGCTGTTTATTTTCTATCTAAACCAAAACAGGAAATTGACATAAATGTTTTGATACTGATCACATTCTACAAGCATACAGTTCTAGCAAGCATGGTGTACCTATTTTCAAAAGAAAAATTATGCCAAGTTTCATAGTTGACTAGTATGAGCAGAAATTAAAAGATAATTAAGATTAATGGAAAAGCCCATGAGCTTTAAAGAAAAAAATTAAGGGATTATTAGATAATGAAGACCTTTCAAAGATTTGGAAGCATTTTTTAGATGTAGCAGAGACACTTGATTCATTGGTTAAAAAAAAATTCTATAGAACTTTTACCAAATATTAACAAAATCTGTGGGATGATTTTGCAATTTTTTAATGTGCTAAGCAGAACCTTCTTCAGCAAATGTTTTATTTACATGTAGAGCACTTTGCCAGCACATCAGGACAGCAGAATCAGGCCCTGTAGTTTGTGTCTCTAGAGCTCATCTGGATCGTATCATCACATTTTATAGAATTTATTCGTGAAGGTTTCTTACTTATTGAAGTCCTTGTTGGTTTAAGTACTAATAACAGCACTGGAGAACAATTAGAAGAGGCAGGATTAACTTTTAGGTTCCCTTTTTTCTAGGATATCATGCTTACTGGAGTTATTTAAAATATCTTTTTCAGACGCATTATACTCATTATTTTGACAATATATTATTTAAACAATGTGTTCAGTCCCAATATTTAGGAAAAAAACCATAATTATAGCAATTACAGATGGAAATTTCAAATCTGCAGAGTTTCTTTCTCATTATGAATATATTGAGAGTTTTGCATATTATATTTAAGGCACACATGTAAAAGACCCTTGCTAAATTAAAGAGCAATTGCTTGGTTTATCATTGCCTTAAAAATATCACCATCTTGAAAAAGGGAAAAAGAACTTGTGGGGCAGGACTTTACACACTGACTTTTTGGAGGACTGTTTGTTATGAATATCACCTAAGCTCAATGGATAATCAATTAGATCTATGCTTTCTTTGCAGCTCTTTCAAAACACTTTTTTCTCCGAGCCCCGCCATTCTACTCAGCATGCTGTGGTGGGTCCTGTCAGCACCCTGCATCCCCCACTGCTTTTCCAAGTAAGTTTTTATGCTTCATCAGTAATGCTTGAGTTATTCTGTAAACCAAAGCAGCAGGATTTAATGTGTTCTGGAAAACTAATTGGTGATGCAATGGCAGCAGCTAATTCCTTAGTAAAATCACAGCAATCCTATTCAGAGAGTTTCCAAAGATTTATCAAACTTAAGTACACTGAGCAATTGTGAGAGGTTTCTAATGGCATTGAGACACCCAGACAGAGCTAACCTTGGAAAGCTCCTTGTTTTCAGTTTGCCAGAAAAGATTCTTTAAAATCAGTAACTGTTTTAAAAATCTGTCTCAATAAATGTTTGCAAATAGGAAAAGAAAAGAGCTTAAAGATCTTAAAATGGATGCTGCATTTTAATGTCTGTTAGGGATAAATATGATTCAGGAGGCCCTAACATTATTGAAATAAAACAATCATTCTTTTTGTAGCCATCAAATGCTTACACGTTTAATTTGTTTTATTTTTTTTTTTAATTATAATGTAAAAAACTGAAGAAGTAATTTAAAAAGAGTTTTGGCCAGTCCACACTACATGTTCAGGATTAAGATGTGGCACACACTTCCATTTAATCCAAATCTAAAGTTAACCTTGATTGTGGAGTTTACACGCCTTAGCGTAAGAATGGATCTTCATCATTTTGTTTGTTTATTGCTCAGGAATACAAACAGAAGAGGCATTTCCTAGTCCTTCAAAACAGAGAAAAAGCACATATTGCCTTGCAGATCCAAATGAAAATTGGAGCTTGTGTGAGCTCTACCATATACTTTTTTGTCACAGTTGCATTCAGTCGCTTCCTTACTACGTGCGTGCGTTTTATGAATGTTTCAGAAGGGCAGCTGCTAAGTTGAATGATTCTTGACAAGTGAGGCAGCAAATGCTGGCAGTTTAATGAGCTGCAAGTTTCTGAGCACCTCTTTAGGGGGCTGACACTTTCCCACAGAGCGTTTTACATGGCCCCAGCTCTCCCACAATGGCTGACAGCACCATGACCAATCACCACTTTCACTTTACTCATCCACACGCGACCTCACCACAATTTTTCACTGTGCAGATGAACTTTAGGAACCATTTCACATTGAAAAGACCTGGGCAAGGGTCAGTTGCCCTTTTGTATGGCCATAAAGCAATACTCTATGTGCCAGTCTTTTCTCCTGTCTCACATTCCAAGAGATTTTCTGGACACCATTTAAAGCACTTGACTGAAAAATAAAGTAGTGAATGAAACTGACTTTTATAGACTCATTCTAGCTCATCTTCCCATATAACCCTGTCTACCTGAAAAGGGATTTAGTGGATGAGCTGAGTGTATACAGGGACTTGCTGAATACATAGGCCCATTATCAACTGTGGGGATTGTTTATTAACCAGGACTGATACACTACTATTTTGGAAGTGACCTATTAATTGTCCATTTAACTAGAATGTATTGAATTCAAATGAAAAAATGGAAACCATGACTAAAGCTTTTACTTGCTCCTTCAAGGTGGTCTTTGCCATGAAGGCAAATGAAGATTGTTCCACAGATTAAGAGGACATTTATCACTATATATTAGGATACAAAGGGAAGACTTAAAAAAACCTCAAGGCAAACCAAAAATCAAATCAGCAACATAGGAAATAGTTGGTAACAGATTCACATTTATGTCAGCAGAGCACTAAACCTTTTGATGCGTGTTCAGAGTGACAGGCTGCAAACTGACTTACTTCATTTTGATGGAATTTTTGAAATGTATGAATGCCTGCCTATCCTGCCATACTGAAAAATCCTTTAATTCACGAACTGGAATTTAGTTTTTGTTTGAACAGTCAGAATGCACTTTGACATATGGAGTATTCTTTAAAAAAATTCTCTAGACTGGTCAGCTGGGGAGGACTATTCATTATCCCAAACAGGAATTTCAAATTTTTTGACTCAGTTGCTGTTTGCTAATGCTTGTGAACATTCTGCTCATCATTAAATTTTGTTTAGTTAGGCTTTTGAAATGAGTCACATATTGCGCCTTAGAGTGTGTAGATTCTTGACTATTAAATTAGTCTAATACAGGTGTTAAGCTGTATCCTACATACTGCCTGAATGGGAATTAATTGGCGCCTCAGGGCTTCATCAGGAGGTTGCTTCTTTGCTGATTGACTGTTAACAACCAGGCAGGCAAGACAAATTTTAAGGGGTCACATAATCTGGCATCCTCTGTCCTAGGCTGACAACTCCATTGTGGAGTGGAGGCTGGGAGGCAGGGACCAGCCCTGTTACGCCTCTTCCCTCGCTGGTGTCTCTCGTCCCGCGGTAGGGATGAGAGAAGGTACCGGCTCTCCTGCTGTTAGACTGTACCTTCCAGTAAACTGGAGAATGGCTAATGATTCGTCAGAAACTACTCAGAGGCCACCTTGCAAAAAGTACCTATGTTCACCAAACTCCAGCAAGAAGGATAGAAAACATGCTTGAGGAAGAAGGCCCAGTGTTTGCCTTCAGCTTCATGGGCAGGATGGGAGCTCGGGGTGGGGGTCATGAGGGGGTTCTGCACTCCTCGGAGAAATATGAACCTGGCTTGCCCTTTGCAGAAACCTCCATCGTGGCATTTTGACTTTTGTTCTGCAGATATTTTATTTTGGTTTAGATGGAGTCTGACTACGTCTCACTGTGTCATAAATATCGGGACAGTAACCAGTAGGTTGTGATTTTTGTATCTGATATCAAATATAATTTTGAAAACTGAAATATGTCTGTATAAATTTAGACTTCTTTTTGTTGTAACGTTTTAAGTCATAATAATTACTTTTTGCCACAGGCTGTTACGGAGGACAAATGTAAAGATGGGTCCTTAAGGTGTAGAAAAATTCAAGAAAGGCCTGTCTAGCAGAATGCAATGGTTCTTAAATCAGTAATATTTGACAGTGGCAGTG